CCAAATCCTCTTCCTTTTGTTGTCTCATTAATACTGATGGTTCTTTCGGTGGAGGCGATGTTTCATTGGTAACGAGGAGTCAGTGATGACTTTATCAATTTTGAAGTTCCACAACTCCGACCTAATCTTCAGTAGACGCTGTGTGAGTGCGTGTGTGCGTCAACATTGTGATTCATGTTTTTTTAAAGATTTATTATTCAGTGTCGTGATAAAAAGTGAACAAAGTGGTGTGCCTCCAAACACATTAAATGGAAGTGTTACGATGTGGGCGGAACTCAAAGTTAGACGATTCACCATTATACATGAACTCAAAGTGGCTGCATGCATCGCCCAGATGCAGAGGCCGGGGGCCTTCCTCCTTTAAAAAAAAATGGACTTCAATCCCGCAAAAAACGACCCCCTAGCGGTTCACCGGGAGGGGGTGGTATTTGCAAGCGATTTTGTTGGCATTTTTAGTTGTGAGCGTGACATGACATTTTTTATCTGAGAAGGCAATTTTTCGTTCAAAACTGCCACCGTTTGGTGTCATCTCAGAACTAAAGGTGCCATGAAAAAGGGTTTGTTTGCCACCCATCTCCCAGCGAACGGTCACCAGATAGGATTTCCGAAACAATTAGACAAAAGGAAAGAAAAAACATCCCAGTTTCACTCATCCAAATCGATTGGTTTATTCCTTCTTTGGCCACTACTAGATTGAACTTCCCATGTCTCGGAACTGCTACTCGATCGTTCCTTTTCAAACTACTAGTATAAGCGGACGACATAGTGATTAGCACTCGGACGAGGATTGCCATGCGAGGTTTGGGGTGCTAACAGGCAATGATCGCATCACGTAGGAGCAGTGCATGGAGAAATGATTGGCTTTCCGAGTTGGTAGCAACCATAATGCTAGGGGTCGAGGATGGAGGGCATGATTGCGCAGGGCGTGCTCCGCGCGCTCGCATTGGTGGGGCACAGGGAAAAAAGCCAGTTCAAGTGTCCATTCATGCGAGCGCATGGCCTTTCCTCCAGGCCCAAATCATCGTGTCCCGCTTTGTGCCGGCACGCGTCTATCCCTTGCCCGGCCCCGCGCACCCGCCTCATCTCCCACCCATCATCATCCCATCATTGCCTGCCCCGCCCACCACCTTTCGACAGCGCAAGCAAACCTAGTCTACATGGGTTTCAACTTTGAACTCAACCGGCTTGTGGTACAGGGTTGGTGACTTCTTCAGGGGAATGTCACTACCTGTTGTACGTACGTGTTTTGTTTTTGTTGGACTATTGGCTTGGCTTTACGTGGTTTTCGTGTGCCGGCGATGATGATCAATCGTTAACAGGTGTTCTTGGCCGAGATAAATTAGGGTGTGCGAACATGTTATCCATCGATCTGATACAATATTTCTACCTAGCAAGAAGAAGCAATATTTCTAGTCTAAGATGGTGGCTTTTGTTTATATATATGGTACCGCTATTGCGTTATTTTCTATTGTTATTTCGTAAATGTTGATGTTGTGTTACTCCAGTTTCTAGCATAAAACATAGCACGAGGGCGCAAAAAATAATAATTAAACTGCACTATCGTGTTCACGGACTAGCACATATGTTTTTGATAACTTCGTCAACCTTAACGCTCTCGTTGCTACTCTAATCTCCAGTAACATTATATGAGTATGTGTGTGCACGCATGCACCTATGTTGTACTCTATATTTTCCAAAAGGAAATTCTTTTGCAATTACCAAGTGTTAGACCCATATGTGTTTCTTGGTACCTGCCCCAATAATCATAAGCACAACAAGATGATTGGGTCCCAAAAATGTTGTGCATCAATTGCTACTTTAATTTCTAAGAGAATACTCTATTTTGTAATTTATTACCACATTATGTATTCACCTCAAAGAGTATCGCAGTTATTAAACATTTTAGGTTTGGGTTCATGCACTATAGTGGGGTTTCCATGTCGATGATCTGTACTGTACAATATGTCTATTGTTAACTCCTCGGGGTAAAAAGAAATCTATTAACACCGCCCTACTTTTGCTTCTCTTATCGTAGATACATCATATGACACATTTCTATCCTCCTAGCCTTTAATCCTTGCATCACCACTAGAAGCGGTGGCGCTACCTCATCCA